GCATTTAAATACACGCGAGCCGCTCTCGAGCCGTCATCGAGCTGCTCGCGTTCCGCCGTGAAAGCTGACCGCTTTGTATACGACAACCTTTCCAATCGCGGCGTAGTCCACGAGACTCCCCGAGACCTGGCCACTGTCGGCTCACGTCCGTGTTCCATTTGCAGTGTAAGACGATAATGGTAGGATCAGAGATGACAGCGGCGGCCTGCGTGAACCTGGCAACGAGGCTGCTGGACCTCCAAGGCCCGTTCCAGCTATGGGCAAGGACGTCCGCGGACGAGGCGCCCTATCCTCTGATAGGCCACGAGAGACCGTTCGCAGTCAAATTGTCGAACCTCAGACACACCCTCTCCGCGGAAGAAGGCTTCGACCTGGAGCACTGCAACAAGAGCGGCCACGACACCTGCCACTTCATCCTGAGGCCCGTGCCGAAGTCCCCGGTCAAGAAGAACAAGTCCAAGATCACCGGGCTACTTAGGAGATCGCTGTCGCTGAACCCCAGCCTGTTCGGCGTGAACCTTTCCAGGCTGGACGAGAACGGTTTACCGAAGCCGGTGCTGGTGATGCTGCAGCAGCTGTTCGCCAAGGGCCCGTTCACCCAGGGCATCTTCCGGAAGTCCGCGAACGTTAGGATCGTTCGCGAGCTGCGCGATCAGATCGAATCGACCGGAGACCCGAGTTGTCTCGAGGACGCGCCGATCATCGCGGTCGCGGCTTTGCTCAAGGACTTCCTGAGGTCCCTGCCCGACCCTCTTCTGACCTCGCACCTCTTCCCGCTGTGGATGGACAGCCTCGACACGCCAAATCCTATTCAAACGATTAAGAAGTAAGAACGGCGAACACAGTTTTATAATATAAACAGAATGTAAGTATAGAACGGTGGGAGCTAACGCGTGCGTTGATCCTTCAGTATTCTAGATAGACTGCCCAAAGCGAATTACACCCTCCTGTCGCACCTGATCTGCGTGCTGCACCACGTGGCACGGAGGTCGAAGCACAATCTGATGTGCGCCAGCAATCTGGGCGTCTGTTGCGGGCCGAGCCTGCTCTGGTCGTCTAATCCCTCGGTGAACCAGAGCAGGGCGATACCCACTCTGACGGAGATGCTGATTCGACACTGCGAGGTTTTGTTCGGCGAGGGAGTCACGCAGCTCCTTGGGGAGGAGCGCAGTGACAGCGGAGCCGAGGAGAGCACCGACAGCCTTCACTGTGAGTAGCCTCTCGAGTACCTTGATCGATCCTCGGTCGAACCTTCGCTGCCAGCGTAAAGGTAGAATCACATTAATAATCGCTATTTAGTAGGTGACACATCAGTTCCCTCTTAATAACGGAGTGTGAAACCTCGACCGGTAGTACTTCCAAGTGGACCCTTCCTTGACCGCTAATGATATTAGTGTGTTTCTACCTTAAAAAAGCGTACGTGACGCGTGCCGTTGATGTCTGTTCTTCCCGGAGGTTTGATCCTTTCACGGTCCACTGAGGAGTTTCTCTCGTTGCAGCAGGTGGGCTTTCCCTGGACAGCCTGGACCTGACGGAACCGCCGCGAAAGGACCATATGTCCCTGTCACGGGACTCGGGCCTGACCCTGTCGGACTGTCAGCTGTTCATTCCAGAGTCGCCGGTGGGCAGCGAGGACTCGGCGGTGAACGCGTCCTCGTCGAGCTTCGACAAGTCCCTGGGGAAGGAGGAGAAGTCCGCGAGCAAGTCGTACATCCGCGTGTACGGCGGCTGGGAGGAGAGGATAAACGGTTACACGGCGGCCAATCATCACTCGAGCGGCGTGGAGCACGGTTTCAGGGACGAGAAGAGCAACGTCGGCTATCCGAATCCGAACTTCCAAAGGCAGGACTGGCTGAGGGCCCAGCTGAAGAGGACCCCAAGAACGAAGCTGGACGAGCACGAGCATCGAAAAGAGAGATTCGATGAGAAAGATATCTACGGCAGGGAGTTCCTCAGACAAGACTCGATGAAGGAGAACGTGGAGAACTGCAAGGACATTTATCGGAGCGCGCAGCTGGACGTAACCCGTGACCTTAGGACGGAGTACGAAAGGGCTTCTCAGCAGGACATCTGCACGGAGCGAGTCTCCATTCACAATTCGGAGCAAGACCTCACTGTAGAGTCCTCGCTGTCCAGCGACCGGTACGAGTTCAAGAAGGAGCGATTCAGCGAGTTCAAAAAGGTCAAGTCCGAAGTATACGTGAACCGAGAGTCGCCGGTCTCGCAGAACGGCAGCTACCATTCGGGCAGCGATTTGTACGAGTTCAAGAAAGTCAAGAGCGAGATCTACGTGAACAAGGAGAGCACCAGGACCGAGAGATACGAGTCCGACAACAGCATCTATGGGAACAGGGACAGGACCAGCGAGATCTACGGCTCGAGGGAGAGAAACGATCTGTACTCGTTCAAGCAAGCGGAGGCGATCGATCTGTACGGCGACGAGGACGAGGAGGAGGAGAGGACGTGGCCCGACACGCCGCCGCCGTTGCCGCCGAGACTGAGGCATCTGCCGCCGGTGCACATGAATCTGGAGGACAGACACAAAGTGGCCGGAAGGTCAAGGTCTCTGCCGCCTCCGCCTCCCTACCGACCGCCCCCGCAGCCACGCGCCTCGGTCACAGGGAGACACTTGGGCTACGGGAGATCAGTCGTCGACGATGAAAGTTACGTTTGAGGGAATGTGCAACGAGGAACGTTGCACCGCGACCGAATCGAACGTGAGTCGCCTAACCGAGAGAGACTGTTCCGTGTTCATCGCGATACGAAATGTCTTATCGTGGAACTCGGGATTCGCGGAACGTTTCTAAGCCTGTGGAATCTCGAGGTTCTAAAGCGACTCGAGGAGACCGCAAACACACGTTGGCTCGTGTGCACGTGGGTCTCATTACGACTGAAACTAGTCCAAAACTGGAACGCACGCGATATATCCGGGACAATAGCGTTTCGTTATTATTAACATCGTTTGTCGTCGTCGTCGTCGTTGGAAAACGAACAAATTGATACGGAAGATCGAAACGTATACGTTACGTTCGAACAGAGTCAACATTATTGCGCGCCATCGATCTTTTGGCGGTTCTTAGCGATAGACTTTTTTGACTGTTACACAGTGATTCAGGGTGCTTCCACGAACCATAATAGGTTTTCTTCTTCTTCTTCTTCCTTTTATTTTTCTTTTTTAATTAGACATTCATTATAGAGATGTTGTATCGTTAAGTATAGACTGTAGCGGACAAGACTTTCCGTCGAGATGATATTATTCGTAACGATTTTCTTACGCGAGCGAGAGTAGTTGTAAAGAAATATATACGTGTACATGCCAGACGTTAATTTTCGCGCGGAGCAACAAAGAAAATTGTAAAACCGTCTCCGCGTATGCTGTCCTATAGACTATCAAGAGACCAAGACGTTCGTAAACGCACATCTCATCGTTAAAGTGTATCAAGATATCGATCTTGTGGGCTCGTTCCGAGCCCAGAAATCAACGCGTTTCACCGATTTTTCCCTCGGCCCATCCCCCTTGTACATTCGCGTCTCAATTCTCTACCTTTTCTGTTTCTATCGATTGTAACGATCCCTTCTGTTCCCTTTCTTCTACTACTTCTTAGAAGTTAGAGCGTATAAATTACGTAGAGTGCTTCGAATGTAAAGCGCAGGTAATCTTAAGGCAATAAGATATACACCAGAAAGTTGTCGAAAAATCGGCGTTCGATTTCGTTGAATCGCAAAGCTGAGAGTTTGTTCTCGTTCTTTGTAAATACGAGTAATTGTAAACTGTAATCTTTTATATCGCTAGAAAACGTATTAAACGATACGCACGCCCTATGCAACGCCCGTAAGGTAAATGTATACTTCTATCTAAATTATACGACATGCTATGAAAGGTTAAATATATTTCGTATTTTATACAATCGCGCGTGTGTGTCATGTTCTTTCTCGATGGCTTCTCTAAATATTCATTTCTCGTATCGCGGTACGTGCACGGATTGTCGATTTAATATACGTTGTGTATTCTTGAAAATCGTCGAACGGGGATCGTTCGTCGTTTCTTCTCTCTTGTTCTCCCGCTTCCGGTTTATGTCACTCCGAATGCGCGTTTCCTGTTCCGGTAAATTGTTCACGGAGAAACGGTGTCGCTCGGCCGTTCGTCTATAAAAATGCAACGTGAACCGATCTTGGACTACGAGGAGTTCGCTAGTTTACAATTAGACAAACCGGTGCCCGATCTGAGAGTACGTGCACATCCTCCATTTGTCTCGTTTCAAGTAACCGATCGATTCATAACCTAACCAAATGCGTCCATAGAACGAAGAGCAACTGAAACAGCACAGTGTGGATGTCAGTTTGGAAAAACGGCCGGCAGAGAAAGCCTATTATCTGTTAACGTAAGTAATCGAAAGGGAAAGCTATATTTATTGAAAAAATTTCGTTTGAAGCCCTGTTTTTAAATTTTTTTAATATGTCGGTAAAACAGCTCCCTCTCGTCCCGCGTGACAAGAGTTCCGGTTCGCAGGACCACAGTCGGTATCCTTGGAGCGCGTAACAATAGTAATTTCGCGCGCGCGCGCTCCCTCGACAAATCATTCGACGAAACCTTGAATCGGACTACGTAATCCTCGCGCGATTACCGTATCAAGGTTGCTCGTCAGTCAATTAATTTTCTGCCAGGCTAAATAACGGTTACCGAGACGCCGATCATCTATCGTTACACATACCAATGGGAGTTCTAATTAAGGTACAGTTGAAACTACCGAAAAATTGATAAAGTTATTTATTTCAAAATATTTCGAATATTTGCGCATCGTCGTTGCCTGTAATCTCTGACGCAGATGGTAATCAACGAGTACGATTGAAATATTTAATTTCTAACATTTGAGATTAACGAGTGCGATCCGAGCATCTTAAAGAACAAACGCATCAGTCATTGTACGCATTACAGCATTGTCATAAATAAACATGTTTTCACAATGTATCATTGTTGGTACAATTTATCGATGAACGTGTGTCAAGTAGAATGTCAATTAAATTCTGATTAAAAAAAATATGCAGATTAATAACGTATCGATCGATTAAGTGGCACGTGATTTCGTACGATTAATGATTTTGAATCGTAAGCATTGATCAGCCAGTATCGAATTGAAAATTCGAATCGATTAAAATGCCTAACTGCTGCATCGGTTTGTCGATTACACAACACCCGACTTCTGATCGACGCGACGACGCATCGTTTCTATTGTATTACGCGGGGTTACGTGTGCATCCTATCCAAGAGCGTACGTAGGCAGCGCTCGGGCGTTTCCGACTCGTTTCGGTTGCGCTCGCTAGCTCGTACGACAAGTCGGATATAATCGATACCTTGGAGTCGGAGTCAGAGCCCAGTTTAGTTGTCATCCACGTTCCGTCGTGTTGTTTTTCTTGCGTCGAATGCGTCATGAGAGTGCGTACGCGTGTTGTATCGTCGTGAACGTTCACGAGTGCAATCGGTTGCCGCCGTCGCCGATCATCCAGTGGTGTCGTTGAATAAGATGCTCCCCGAAAATGTTGCAAGAGGAAGATAAAGCTCCGTACGAGAGCGTGCTGGATCCGTAAGTAGTCGGACCAGTCAGTTTTCAGTTAGAAAAATCGCGTGCGTGATCCGAATCGGCCAGCGGCCAGCACACTTTCTTCCTTCTCGGCTGTCTCTCCCTTTCGTGCTCACCCATGCACTGTTTCTAAAAATACCGCGGCGTCGTTCAAGGAGTATACACTGTCCTGTCGTCCGACCGCCTCTAATTATAGTCCTTTAAAGACAGCCACTCGTAAGAAATGACATTCTACGTACGAGTAACTCGTAAGCAATGCTACGGACTACCCTATTTAGCCCTTCGACTGCCAACCGCGTATACAATATACGTCCTACATTTACCGTCGTCTACACGAAAGTCGTGTGCATAATACGGCCAAGAAGCTCTAATCCGCGCATTTCATTTATATCAACCATTGAGTTTGAAATATTCGAGGAATGTCTCGGCACTTTCTTGTTCGGAACAATGGGATCCTTACTTTCGCTGCGGCTATAAGTTGATCGCGAATTATATTAGCTAACTGCAACGGTTGTCATGCGAATATCGGTGTAGTAAATTGCTGATGGTTTCGAGTTTAAGCGCGCCGCAATCAAAAGGTTAGAGATTGCACTGTGCCGCCCCGTAGGTTATTTCAAACTTTGACAGCATTGTTGTTGGCTGCCCTCTCCCTTTTCTCGTCTGTTTTTCTTTGCCCGCGAGAATTGTAATAATAGAACTGATTGTCGGGTGTTTGGAATTCCAGCAGATCGCAACGTATGCAGCCGTGCACTCGTATGTAAACATTGCATCGATGCAGGCTCTGCTGTCGCACGCTTCAAAAGGATGCGTTATGTAAAGATTTTGTCCTTGATGGTTGCATACATTTAAGGAAAATAGCGAGGGGACTAGAAGACAATTCTTATAAAAATAACTACTATACAGTCCCTTCTTTTTTTTAACGCGTCGACTACTAGTAACCATAAAAATACTATTAATTCGTTTATATAATTCTACAAAAGTTGAGATTGTAATATTTATTAATTTTTTCACTTCGATGAATCTTGCATTTTCTGCCTAAATTTTTTGTTTATTAGATATATTATCGCGACACTTAATTTTTAAATCTAGGCAAATATTTGTTTCATTAATTTAATGATATAAAATGACAGAATGATCCTTGTGCGTTACTGACATATAATTGATGCGTGGGCCTTATTCAGCATTTCTAATGGTCCCTATGTGTGTAATTATTTCAGGAAAGGCGATGAGTTTCAAAAGCTCAGCGTCATACAAAACTTACCAAGTCTCTTACAGACAGACTCGCAATCATGCATGTCTCGTGTGGTACCAAAAATGCAGCAGTCATTGGCTACTGCGTCCACGGAGTTCCACATTGCAGCATCGTCCACATTCAAAACGATATTAGAGCAGAAACTTGTCAGCCATAATGTCTTCAGTCAAACATTCCTCCCAAGTATATTAAATTCGCTCGAAAGTCGTGATCCAGGTAAACTTATTATGTTCGTTGCTCCATTAGAAATTGCTAGTTAATCCCGTATTGACAGTTCTCATGCATTTGGTGTTACTCTACATATCTTAACGTGTACATATACATTTAAAGTTGTTTGTGATGCATGGCTGGAGACCTTACTGGATGTGATAGAGTTACTGCCGGTAGAAGTCATAAGAGCGCAGGTTTGTATAGACAATCATAGTAATTGATATTCAGACAACATTTATTGACCTAGAAGGGCAAAAGTATTCTTAGTTCATATAGCATAACTTTAAGGTCATATGGTAGAGAAGTAATAAATTTGATTTACTTTCGATAGTCCCAGCTAGACTAAGCATCAAGTACTCTGAAAGCTCATTGATTTCAAAAAGATACTATGTATTCTACATAGCTCTGATAATAAAATTATTCCACAAAGTTAAAACCCTACTTAAGTCTGATAAGATAACAGTATACCGACTGGATGATAATTGAAATAAAATCATACAGATTGTTCCATTGACTATAAGCAAAGGACAATTGTCTCAGCCTATCAACTCCAGGGTAACGTGCAGCAGGTTACTAGGGAAAATTTGTACAAGATTTGATCCTGCTATGTGAGTATTGAATTTTTTTTCATTGGGTGTATCAGAACAGTATTTAATTATTAAAAACAAAAACAAAGAACAACTGCATACAAAGATTACTTTTCCGGTAAAATCATTCAATGAACATTGAAATTGTTATTAGGATACAGAAGGAAATTCTACCATCAGTACATTCCCTCTGTCAGGATGTAAATAGCGAAGTACGAGCTAGTATCTGCTTGCAGCTACGTTTTGTTGCCGAAGGCCTTGGTGCTGAGTCTGTAAAATCTGCTTTGCTACCATCTCTTGTAGAATTAGCAAGCGACGAAGAAAGCAATGTAAGATGCACCTCTGTACAGACAATAGTGTACTTGCTACCTCATCTTCAGGAAGGTATGCTTGATGACTAGTTTTGCATTATTCATTAAGCATTCCAAGTTTCTCGTAGCTATATATTATATTACTTGAAATTCGATGTAAGTGAAATATAATCCCGCCCAGTGATAAGAGTATGATATTCGTCCTATCAATCGTTTACAGATACCATAAAAACTATCATAGTACCGCTCGTTAAAAAGTTATGCGAGAACGCAACAAAATCAGACGACCATGTGATATGCGTAATTGCTCAGGAGTTTGGGAAACTCGTACTCGGTTTAGAAAGTAAGATTCTGCTCAAACGTAATCGTTTTCGCTGTCTAAAAATGGGTTTACACCTGTGCCGAAAATTTTTAGAATGCCTCGTGACCGCGGAAAAAACATGGTTTCTGAAGTATTTTCAACAACTTGCACAAATGGGTATGGTCTCTATCAAAAGCGATTCGAAACCCCACCATTCTTTTGTAAGTATAAGGAGGCGATTTTCTAAGCGAAGGTACGTACCAGCAAGCCTGAGTCAAGTTCATTGAGCACGTTTCATTGTTCTAGATGAGCTCGAGTCCTGCTGATGAAGAGAAACACATGGAATGTAGAAGATGTTGCGCTTTTAATTTGCCTGCGATGTTTCTTTTTGTGTCGGACTCCTCGGACGACACGGACGCGTTGCTTGTTACCTTTAATTCATTAGCGAGCGATCACTATTACACAATTAGGAAAACCGTAGCGAGTGGAATTGGCGAAGTAAGAACCGCATCCAGTTCTACACTACCATATTGTGCAACATTGTGCTGCGAGTGCGTTACGTATTCACGATATTCTAATTGAACACGTAGGTGGCGAAAATATTGTATCCCAAGAGCGGCCGGATCAAATTGGATCTGATCAAATTGCTGAAGGACGACTCCGAGGAAGTGTTACAAGGTTTAGTTCCTCACATTGGGACAACGCTCGACTGCCTAGCGGAAAGTCAGACTATCGGGGTGGACAGGGTGGTTTGTATCTTCTACTAATTGCGATGATTTGCGATATTTAGCAACCATAAAAATCATTTGGTAGTGAACGTTGCTAGAGAATCTTTCAAAATATAATAATCTAATATTGCTGTTGCTTGTGTCACTGTCAGGACTCCACTCTTATGGAAATCGGCAGGGCGCTGTTGAAATGTGAATCGGAAATATCAACCACCCACAACTGGAGGCTAGCATCGATGATGCACTCGCAGCTCGAGATAATACCTAAGTACTTTCCAAGCGATTTTATATATTCGTACTTTGTGCCAATGGCGTTCTTCAGGATACTGCACGCTGTGAGTTTGAGAGAACAGTCCTTGATCCTTTTTGCAACGGCGAGTCTGCTATTTAAAACGCTATTTAAATTCCAGAGACCGATACCCGTGCGTCTCGCCGCAGGAACGTTGTACCTGTTCCTTTTACGTTACAACATGAAGCCAATACAAAGAGTCGAACTACGAAGCAGACTATATACAGAACTGGCGACTAGTACGGACTGTTACGTTCGGATGATGTTCGTTCGCATGATGGTGGCGGCCTTGGAGATCTTCTCGTCCGCCTACTTCAAAGAGCATTTTTTCACCGTTTTATTGAACCTGGCGGAAGATCCCGTTGCTAATATAAGAATCAAAGTGTTATCCATGTTGCCCCAATTAAAAAGCAAACTATGGTTACCGACGGACAAAAAGCTACTCTCGGCAATGGAGACAACGATAGGGCACCTGATGAACAGCGAGACAGATAGGGACGTAATTGCTACGCTGTCCAGCGTCATGCGGAAATTGATCGACATTGATCCGAAATACGATAACCAACCTGTAAGTGACACCAAGTTGAAATTTTTCTATTTCGTTTCCTTAACTACTATTTTTTGACATCGATACGTCCCGTTACAGCTTTCCAAACAGACGAAACATGATATAGAGGACGCTAAGAAATTTGAGGAAGAGAAAAGATTGTCCGGAATGGTCCCTGGAAAGTCTCCTCCTGGCGGTGCGACCATGAAGAAAGGTAGGTAGCAAGGGTAGTGATCAAAATCTAAAAGAATATCGAAGAGAAAAATTATTAACAAGACTACGGTTTTAGGAGCATGGCGACGTCCAGGCGAAACCTCATCCAAGTCAGTGTGAGTATCCATAATTCTGCATATTCTTGACAAATATTTATTCTAGAGCCTCTCGTTAATAATTTGTCTATGTATTTTCAGGACATCCGCAACATCTAAAAGTGAGTAGTTCAATCATCCTAAAATTGTACTTAGAGTGCGGATCTTTATATAAGATCGAAATCTTTTAAAGATATATTATATAAAATCCGCAGACTGTATAATTTTCTATTTAAACGAGTAACAAAACACCATTTGTTTTCACCAAAGCTACGGCGGCATCTCCTCGCCACTCCAGCGAACCCGGAAGAATGAGGTACGCAATGTTTTTATTTCTTTCGCGGTTCTCGGCTTTAACGCTAGCATAGAGTATCTCTGAACGTTAGCCATGTAAGATCCGCCGGAACTAGTCGAATCAAGCATGTCTAAAACCAAATCCGCAGGGTCGAAGTGCAAGTTGTAAAATGCGACCTTATTAACTGTTTCCCTAGTCCACTAACGACTTCCAGCGAGAGACTAACATCAAGTTCTGCACGCTTTACACCTAACAGACCTCAGCTAACACAACCTTGGGAAAGGCTAGGGCATAGCAACTCGAACAACCCTGTCGACTATCTGATGCAAAAGATACAGCAGAATCGCTCGAAGCTGACCCCGCTGCCGTTCATAGTCTTGCCGGAGACCAGCGAGCAGAATGTGCTGTTGACAAGAGACTACAATCGCGAATTCTCTACTAACAACATCGCCAGCACGGACACTGCCACCGCGAGAACGCTCGCCAGTGCTCCGAACCTGGCTGTCCTCCGAGCACTAACCAAAGCGGCTCATTATAATTCTTGTTGGCCCAGCAGCTCGATGCCGGAGATACCGGTGATGCTGTCCGACGACGAGTTCTTGGTGGACGCCGGCATCAGGATACCAGCGCAGTTCTCTGCCAGCCAAGGGGTCTCGAAAATTCCTCATCTACAGGACTCGCTGTTCACCAAACGAAGACACTTCAGCTTCGAGCGCTCGCGCACCGTCAGCTTCGACAAAGGCAGTCCTAAACGTAACTCGTCCGTGGGCTACGAGGACTGCATGCAGAGGAGAACGAATGGAGGAGACCAGTCGGGTAGCCCTAGGACGTCGATAGACTGCGAGGATGGCCTCAGGTTGGTCAAGGACGACCAGCAACTCGGCAAAACCATCTACGTCGGGCCTCTGATGAGGTCTAGGTTTGGGTTCGTTAATCAAGATCGATCCATGGACGATAAACTGAAACGGAATTCATTGATATTGGACAAGAACAAGCCCAAGATCCTCCAGACCAAGTGCACTCTGGATCGGACCAAACGGCACTCGGCAAGCTTCGAGAAAACGAAGCCCAAAAGAAGCTCGTCCATGGACTACGACGACAGCATGAAACGAAGAACTAATGGATCCGACGAGCCCAAGGATCCTAGAACCTCCATCGACTACGAAGACGGTTTGAGATGTCTGAGAACGAGGTTCGGGTTCGTGATACTGGACAAGAACAAGCCCAAGGTCCTTCAGACCAAGTGTAACCTGGACAGGACTAAGCGGCACTCGACGAGCTTCGACAAAGCGAAGCCAAAAAGGAACTCGTCCATAGATTATGACGACAGCCTGAAGCGAAGAACCAACGAATCCAATCAGCCGAACGATCCCAGGACCTCCATCGATTACGAAGATGGTCTGATACTAGTCCAGGACGAGGAATTGGATAAGAAAGACTCGGTGTATTTAGGACCTCGGATGACAACTCGCTGGAACTCGCTGATCTTGGAAAAGGAAAAGCCTAAGCTCGTGCACACCAAGTGCACGGCGGACTGGCCTAAGAGACACTCGGCCTACTTCACCATGAAGTCAACGGACTCGAAAGAGACCAAGCAGACCATCAAATGCCATAGCCTAGAGGTGGCCGATTACACGCCGAGCGAACGTCTCGGCAGAGCTCTGAGACGTCACTCGACCCTGGACGTGAACCATAATCAGGGACTTAGCAAAATACCCTTAAGAAGTTTTGTACCTCGTAGTAGAACCGCACCGGCTACCAGGGCGTCCAGCCCTGTGCACATAGAGAAATTGTGTCGAATGCCGTTCTGGGAGTCTTAAGACGATAGCAAAAACGTTTTTCGGACATTCATCCTGCATGCGTCGATCCGATCGAGGGTAAGAACTCGTGGCCTCCATTCTCCTTAATCTTACTTTGCTGCACTTTATATTCGAAATCGGTCTTTCTTCTGAGAACAGTTTTTATTCTGATCAGGGGTCTCCCTAGTTTCTATGCTACAAGGTAGTCTTTGGACATTTGTTTCCTAGAGAAGTATACCGAATATTGTAGTTTCACACTTGGCACGCTTATTTATCGACGTTCGAGGAATGGACTACATCTTATTGTTTTTTTTTGTTTTTTTTTTAAGCTACATTAAATATACACCGAGGGTAGTACAACGAATTCAGTTGCAGGGAATACGTATCGAGAATGTTAAACTGCAAGAAAACGCGGAGTACGATTTCTGCAGGATGTAGAATTAGGGGGACCCTCTAATGAAGAGTCACACGCGGTCTCCAAGGCGTTTCCGCGGACATCCGCTACTAACGAGGTACTCGAGAACTGTCACAAGGGCTGTTTAGTTGGTTCGCTATCTCGTGCCTTTTACACAGAGCCTTCTGCGTTCTTCGTCGCTTCTCATAGGCAGCCTAACAACGTGTTTTCCTATCGGTCCGTGGAGAGGAGAGGCTCTCCCTCGTGCCGACAATATTCTCCTGGGGAGCATTTCCATTGATTATTCGCGATGCATTTTCTGATCGATTGTTACGCGTGACCAGGCGTCCCGTGATTCGCATTTCACTCGGCATTTATTTCGATCGCGTGCAGTTTCCGCATTCGATTGGAGAATCTCTTTCTCTCCCCCCTCTTTCTCTCTTTCTATTTATCTCTATATCTCTTCGAAGCGCAGGTTGCATCGCGAGAACGTGTCGAACGCCGCGAGCCGAGGCGCGCATGCTTCAGTTTAGAGAAGACTGTTTTATCCGAGTTCGCGAAACGGTGTTTCACAGATGAAAAGAGACGAAGACAAAGACAAGACTATTTTGCACTTTATTTTATAGCTGCATATCTGATATTGGCCTACGAACAGAGTGAAAAAGAACTATATTAATATACATACGTACGTACAGCGGCTCCAGAAAGTCTGCCCAAACGAAATTTCTGGTTTCAACTAAAATCGTGGATATCTCAACGTTTGCAGGAAATTCGAACGTCGACGGCTTGTCGATTATCTGAGATCAGTATACGAAGACTTCCCGGTGCCGCTCTATGTACAATCCTTATTGTTAATAGAGTTTAAAGAGCAGTTGTTGATCCACTAACGGAGTATATACATATATTCTGATAGACTATTGTATCGAAAGAAGAACGCGAGATCAGACGACGCTAGGGTTACACAGTATTGTAATAGCCAATTCTAGGTCTAGTCTCGATTAGCTGTAAAACAGAGCTAGGTTTCCTCGACGCCTTCCAATGGGAGGCGCTCTTTTTTAAACTCACCCCATGCGTTTTGTACTTTGCTTTTCGAACAGTCGTTCTATCCCCCCCCCCCTTACCCTACCCTTTTTTTAAATTAATTCGAGATATCTGTCCCTACCCCACACCCCTCCCCCCTTTCCTATTAGGATCTCTCGTCGACGTTTTTATCGTTTTAAACCGTAGAAGATTGCGAAACACTTCTCGTTAGACGCGTGCAATATTTAAGCGTTCATTTCTGTTTAATCTTCTAATCGGGTGTCCGGCGTCATTTTATTCACACGTTCGATATAGATATTTGTCCGTTCATACAAGGGATGAGAAAAGTTGTCTGTGATTCAAGGAAAGGTTCAGGAAATTCGATCGGCAGCCAATCCTCCCCAATTGTTCAGAAAGCGTTTCCTCGCGATTCCCCGGTTGGAAGGTTAACAACAATCATGCCCGGAGTATAGCGTTTCACATTTTACCGGCAACTTTTAGCTGTTACGCGTTCCCAGCGTTTACTCGTAAGTTTTAATCGAATATCACACCACGCGAAACATCGACGTGTCGAAGGGACGTCCGTTTTCCGTTCGACGAACCAGCGAATTCCGTCGGCGAAACGAAAGAAATACCTTTTTTTGGAGCACGACTTTTAGGGATTCTCGATAACTCCCCGATAATCATCACACCGTGAAAACGACCGTGAGAGAAAATTCGAAGAAAAAGGAACGTAGAAAACGAGATTTCACGCTGTTTGTTCTATGCTGCCGCGAATCGCGCGGAGCGCTGTGTTGTGTCTTGAGCAAGAGGAAATATCACAGGATCTAATTAAAAGAAAAAAAAAAGCATAGATAATATATAAATATATAAATATCTGAATCTATTATGTATCATGTATGTATATATATATCATAGAGAGAGACTGACCAACGTCTAGAGAACCGATCGTGATCTAGAGAAACGTCTATGCAGGTCGTAATTATCGCGAGGTCAGGCGGGGAGAATATATCAATGCAACGGATGGAGCAACAAACGCGATCATCTCCGCGAGAAATATTTTCAATTGAGCTTCTAGAGGATATATTTTCGAGCGCAGGAGCACAGAAAACGGTGATGAAAATGTAACAAAAAAAGGAGAGAAAAAAAAAGAAGAAAGAAAAGGAAAGGAAACGGTGTACGACGAGAGAAAGAGGACAGAGTTGTTAAGACGCTTCGAAGCCAAAGATATAATGATTTCTAACTGTAACGAGGTTCAGGTGAATCGTACAAAGTCCTAAAGGCATTATGTACTTGCGTGTACCATGTACATTAATACCGTGTAAAGCTTTACATTGCAAGTGCCATTCAACACGACCACACACATACAACGTACACACACACACACACACACTCTCTCTCCCCATCACATACGGAGATTTCAACGCGTGGAAAGAGCCGTATTAACGTCGTAGAGATTGTCTACGGGGTTCGAAGCTACGGAAATTGAAGAACGGTCCCGGCGAATATTTTTACGATATTCGACATCGTAGGCTCGGCGCAGTCCGAGCAACAAAAGGATTAATTAGCGTAGTCCGTAGACTTCCGGTGTCGTTCGACGAATCGATGCTTCCTTCGTTCTTCTGTAAACGTCGAGTCGGTCCGCGAGTCCGCCGAAAATATCGTGAGAAACAATGACTTATTAACGCTAGATTTACGGAATCCGTCATAACGACGGATCGCTGATTTTTTAATTTACGATTTATTTATTTTTTAATTTACGAGAGTTATTTATTAAATTTCTATTACGGCAAATGTTACAATAACACTTGTTAAAAATTAGAATTAATATTTTATTGTTATTCTTATTAACTAATATAAAGCTGTTTGTTCGTGCTCCGTAAATCTAGTGTTAGTAGAACGGGGTGCAACCGTTCGAGAAAATTAGAAAAATCCTGGAGCAACGTTGAAGCTCGGGACAAAAGGTCGAAGCTAACCGCGAGCCGCATTTTTCTCTGTGCAAACAGATACGTTTCTCCGGCGCGACATCGTTCACGGATAGACTCGACGGTGGCACGGAAGGTGTTCGAACGATCGCCAATCGATCGAGAAGTCCGTGTAGACGTGACGAGTTAATCCGAGTTGAATCTTCGAACGAGAGACCCTTTCTTGCACACAAGCTGCTGAAGCAATCGGCCGGCTCCCATTTGTATTCAAATATCGTGGCGTGGTTGCGTTCGCTGGTTCAACGTATCGTCCAACCGTACTATCTCCTCGGATCTTCTGTCTCGAATGCCGTAGGATACCGTCGACAACGAAAAAAAAAACGTTTCAATAAACCGGGAGATCCTCGAGTATTTTTCTGTCCGCCTAGGGGATTCTAACGTTACAATAGCGAACACGTGGCGATGGTGTTATGGTGTTTAAACGCAAGTGGGAGCAACGATAGATAACATTACGCTTAGATCGTAGAGAAGAGGAGTGCGATTCAACGATCGATCGTCGCGACGACGTTAATTATTTCCGTTGGAACGCGGGCTCGTACCGGCTATACCGATCCGCGTAGCGTAGCGGAGAAGCTTCTTCTGTTATTTTTATAGAAGATTTTAGGGCGGCGTCGGTCGTACGGCTTTAGGGGAACGCCGATCAATTGTTGAGTCTCGTAAGCGGGCCCGCATTTATGCTATCGAAGGCGCAACATCGTTGCGAGGCCACGGAGGAACGAGTCTGTTACGGTTCGTCGAATTTCTGAGCAGCGAGATTTGAAGAACTGAGTCCAAATTAATTGTTCAGCCTAAAATAATTAATTAATTAAATTGAGCCTAACGCGCGCCTCACGGCAAATGCAGTCCAGCTCGGAGAATCTAAAAATGTCTTCTGATGATCGTACGATCGCCAACGCCGCCGCTCGCGAAGAAACTTAATTTTTTTATAGAGAATCTTAGAGTATATATTATATACATAGATCTTATATATACAATATACACGTATACATATATATACATGTATACGTACACGCGCATATATAAGAAGAGATGAAACGTGTTAACATTTAACGAAACTGAGAAAAACTTGTTGAATATGCAACTAGGGGCAGTAGAGCGTCACAGCATACGAAGAAAGGCAGGCCAAAATAATCGAAGAGTCGTAGGAGGATTACGGATACACACACACACACACACCGACACGCACATCCACACCGGACACACACCGTAAAAACGCGTAGAGACACAGAGAGAGACACGGGATCCGAGAAAAGCATCGGATTGTTCCACGAGCGATGCGAATTCCCTTTCATATTTTCGGAGGACTCGGATTGTCGACCTTTCCGAACAGATCGAGACAATTGTTTCTGCCGCATGGAGTTTCAGTCGCCGGAAGTTTCGCCGTAATCGAACATTCTTGCAGCCCGGAAAAAATTAATATTTAATATAGGGACCTTGGCCAATTATTTGTAACAGCAATTTTACTCGTGAACGAACAAGTCAACGTTCGTAAATTAACGTAACGATGTCCTCGTAGGATCGTTGTTCGTGAGAGCACAGAATTCTAATGGAAGATCGACCGTTTGTCGCCTTTGCAAAAGAAAAAAAAAATACGAAAAGTAATTCGCATAAATTCTGGGACGGCCCAATGGACGTTTTCTCTGCCAAGCTGTACCGCTTTAAAATGCCGCTATTTATTTTTGTACAGATCTACCTACGGTACGGTACTAATTAGTAACTTTTGTGCCAGAAAGTAACGCGGAGCGTATTTGCACACGACGTACAACGACACAGAGAACACACACACATACGTATATACACACACGTACCCGCAACGTAGGAAAGAGAGACGAGTACGCCTCGTGAAAAAAAACGAGCATTCTACGCAATTGTTAAACAACGTTGCGCGCGCGTTGTTCTTCGTTTAGAGAAGAGCTACGTGCGTTGTTATACGACGCCGTTATTACGCGGTTACGCGAGCATATTTCACGGAGAGGATCTTCTTTGGCGTGGCTCCGACGCGCCGACTAATTGTCACGTAGCAAGGGGATGAAACGCGATTGTATAAACGATCAAGTCGGAACCACGTGCGCACGATCACAGCGGAGAGAACCGAGAGCCGATAACGAGGGGAACGAAGAAAAATGAGAAGGAAAGCAAGAACAATTTCGTCGAGAAAACGATATTTTTATTACTCACACGCTGTTCCCGTAAAGAATAAAAAGAACGTTACAAAAACAAAGAGACAAATGAAAGAATTGTATTTTTGTGAGGTATATCTGTAATAAAAATATAGTTAAATGTGAAGAGAGTATGTATATATAAATATATATATATATACATATATATATATATATATATATATATATATATNGACTAATTGTCACGTAGCAAGGGGATGAAACGCGATTGTATAAACGATCAAGTCGGAACCACGTGCGCACGATCACAGCGGAGAGAACCGAGAGCCGATAACGAGGGGAACGAAGAAAAATGAGAAGGAAAGCAAGAACAATTTCGTCGAGAAAACGATATTTTTATTACTCACACGCTGTTCCCGTAAAGAATAAAAAGAACGTTACAAAAACAAAGAGACAAATGAAAGAATTGTATTTTTGTGAGGTATATCTGTAATAAAAATATAGTTAAATGTGAAGAGAGTATGTATATATAAATATATATATATATACATATATATATATATATATATATATATATATATATATATATATATATATATATATATATATATATATATGCATATATGTACATATATATGTATTACGCACGCATGTGCGTGCGAGACGAGGAATGATAACGAGCGCCGCGGTCGTAGATTTTATTGGCTCTGTCGATATTATATTATACATCTGTTTTAATATACGTTACGAACAATAAATCGAACATTTTTTGTTACGCAAGAACGTTTTATTCGAACGTTTCGGCGAGCTTTCAAACACTGAAAGATCTCCCAACGTTCTGCACCCCGTACATCTTATGGTTGATCGCTGGTTTAACCCTTTGCAGTCGAAGCTATTATCATTCGAAATCCAAAACATGTTTTCTGATCTACGGTATTTTCATTTTATTGGTAAGAGTACAATACTTGCAATTTTAACAGTATTTTAAAAATATAAACGAATCCGACGCTCTTGTAATTATTTAGAAAAATAGTATAGCGTTTTTAGCGACGCCTCAGAGTCGCCATTCGAGGGAAAAGGGTTAACACTAGATTTACGGAACCCGTCAAAATGACGGGTCACTAATTTTTTAATTTTTTTTTTTTATTCGTAAAGACACATTTACGAGTTATTGCTACCTTCACGAGCTAATATAAAACAGCTGATTTTTCAATGCTCCGTAAATCTATCGTTAAAGTGGACAGGTACGAAGAATCACGGCACGGTGTTTTTTACTTTTGAACTTTTTATTTCTTCTACTTTCTTAATAAATCAGTGACTCGAGTCGCTACAAACTGTGTATGAGTTCCTTTTATAATTTAATTACGAACGTACATAATAATGATTTCCCCGATTTTTCGTCATCCTCGCTCATTCACACACCGTTACACCACCGATAAACCCGAAAGAAACTGAACCAGAAACGCGTTCGTCGCAAAACGTAACCGATCGGATGATCTCGTTTGTCCCCGACAATTCTGCGTCCGATGAAATGCGTTCCGAAAGGGGGGATGGGGGGAGCGATCGCGACGAGAGACAACACGCGTCGTCGGACGTTGTCGCGACGCTCCCCGTCGACGAAACGGCGTTATCGACGCCGCGACATAATTTCCAACGCATAATTGCAATTTCGAAAGTAAATGCGGCGCTTTCCGTGCCCGCGCGAGACATACCTTGATCACTTCACGAAAATATCTTCCCCTTCGTACGGGAGAACGTAAAACGATCGACGGACAATAGATTCCTATAATATTTCTATAACTTCATCTAAATAGCATTTTCTCTTTTCATTCCGGTTTGATTCGCGTTTTGCCGTGGAACAAGAACGAGCGAGCGACGTTCTGAGTCTCTCTCTCTCTCCCTCTCATCGTTCTCTCGAGATTGTCAAAGTAACCGGACGCTTTTTCTTGTTCCTTCTACCATTCGTTATGCCCTTGTCATTCTATGGAGTTTCGATCCTCCCGCGCCGACGCTCGGAGGGTAACGACAGAGAAGCCCGACAATTTTCCTTTGAAACGATAACCTAAAGGGAAACGTTATTCTACTCGATTTATTGCTGCGCGAAGAAAATTGCTGCGGCCGCGCGGAACAGCGCTGCTCGGCTTTTATCGGACCATCATCGTGTGGCATGCGAGAAGAGATTTGGCCGTCGTTACCGCCGTTGCGCGGCGCGTACCCGGTTCGATCG